ATGGCTCCAGAGGAGAAAATGAGGCTGGTAACTGCACAGCCCTCCTTCACTTAAATCTAATTCACTTGTAAGTCATGGCATCACTTTCCTGAGGTCATGGTCCTCTTGTACAACAAAGGACAAACAATAATCTTTTCAAAGTCTAACACATACTCACTTAGGATTCCCTTCTCACTCTGCCTGTCTCATTTCTATAATCATTTCTCATTTTTCTCTAAACTGTTCTCTAAAACTCCTAGATGTAGTCAACTGCATGCCTTGAAGAGCTGTCTGTTTCTTGTTCCAGTTCTGGCCATGATGATTACTGGGCTCCAAATCCTTCCTTTTGCCCCTCCTTCTCCCGCCCCCCAGTTTTGTTATGGATTACGTTAGTCCTAAATAAGTAATCAGCTACTACAATCAGAAACTACTATCAGAATGACAGTATTTCAAAGCTGGAAAGCACTTCAATTCAACCAAAGCTCACAAAAAAACATCCTCTACAGTATATGCAACAGATGAGAGCTCACAACCCCTAAAGGCACCCCATGCTACTTTTGTTAAGTTCTAATTTTCAGGCAGTTGTTCCTTACATAAAACCTCCATGTGCTTCTGTACCTTCCACCAACAATTTCTATTTCTGTCCTCTGGGATCAGGCAAATCAAATCTTAATCCTCTTCATCATGCTGTTTAATTCAACCTTGGACATACTAAGCACCTTTCTATGCCCCTCAGCTCCATCCAAAGTCTTTCTTTAGAGAAGGCAGAATATGGACTTTGCAGCTCACCCAACTTTCTATCTGTAACCCTGCTTAGTGTCAACTCGAAGGAACACACTGCCCCCAGCAGAGTACTCCCATGTGTTGTCTTCCCATTTTAAATTGTAGGCAGGGAGTGTCTTTTTCTTATTTGTATCCCCAGCACTTAGTATGGTACCCAGCACATGGTAAGTAATTAACGTTTACTTTATTGAATTTACCTGAAAGCCCCTCCCCACCAAGGTACCACTATGTGCCAGACACTGGGGATATGAAGACATATAAGATAGTCTTGCTAAAATGGTGGGGGGGGAGAAGAGGAACAACAGGCAAACAACTACGTATGAAGAGAATTATTTATAGGACAAATTAAAATGACAGTTCAACAGAGGAAATGCACTAGCATGTTGAAGAGTATGAATGAATTATCACAGAAGGCAGGAATTGAGCTGAGCCTTGAAGAAAGCCAGCAGGCAGAGATGAGGAGGGAAAAAATTCCAGGTATAGAAAGACTGTCAATGAAAATGCTTGAAGTTGGGAGATAAGAATGTCCTATGCAAAGAACAGCAAAAAGGCCAGAGTCATTAGATCATAGTGTATATGGAAGGAAGTAAAGAGTAAGAAGACAGGAAAGGCAGGAGTAGGCTGAGTTATGAAAAGCTTTGAATGCTGCTCTTTCTGCCACATGGACCCCACCCCAAGTGTGGAAAGCAGCCACAAACTTAGCCAACTAGCTGCAATAGGATCGCTTCTCCAAGACTAAATGTTTCCAATTCCTTCAGCTGCTTCTCTTGGGCATGAATTAAGACCCCTTCACAATCCTGGTTGCCCTCCTTAAGGCATTCTCAATCTCAACATCCTTGCTAAAATGCAACACTCAGAACTGAACATTACACCCTATATATGGTCTGACCAAGACTGAGTACAATGGGACTTTTGCCTCCTTATTCCTGAAAGCTGTACTTCTCTTAAAGCAGACTAAGCAAGCATTAGTTTTCTTGGCAGCTATTTCACACTGTTGACTTATACTGAGCTTGAAGTTCACTAAAATCCCAAGAAATTCTGCAGACAAATTGCCTTCTAGTCATGCTTCTCCATCTTGGGCCAATAAAGATAATTTACTGACACATGTGTGTGTGCGTGTGTGTGTGTGTACGTGTGTGTGTGTGTGTGTGTGTGTGTGTGTGTGTGTGTGCTCTCTCCACATTAAGACTACATATAAATCCATATTAAAATTTTTTACTAGATTTACTCGAATGTTCTGGCCTGCCAAGATTTATTTTTTATCTCATCATCCAGTTTGTCACCTATCTCTTCCAAATTAACATTATCTGTCAGTTTGATTAAGCATGCCAAGTCATTACTAAAAATGTCAAATAGTATAAGGTAAAACACAAATGACTGGGGACTCCACTGAAGACCACCTTCCAAAATGAAAACAAACAATTATGATAACTCTTTGATTTGGCCAATCAACCCCTGATTTCACACATCTTTCAACTAACAAACTCACTGGAGATAACTCTTGGACAGCAACAAACTAGATGATGGGAGGCAACACATGTGGAAAAAGTCCTGGACTTGGGAGGCAGACAACCTTGGTTCAAGTCTTAATCTGCTACTTAATAGTTATATAACCCTTAACAAGTCATCTCACTCCTGGAAGCCCATTTTCTCATCCATAGTTTAAGATTAATGGTACTCACCCTAAATCAAACTAAATGTGGGACTATCTAGGACACATTTCTCCATCTTATCCACCAAAAAAGCATGAGAAACATTATCAAATATTCTCCTAAAATCTTAGTAAATCAGATCTACAGCATTCCCCTGAATTGCAGTTTAGAAAATAATGAAGCCACAGTGGCTCTTCATGATGACTGCTTCTTTTTCTAGAACTTTCACTAGTTATCCCTTTAATAAGTCAGTATAAAATAAATCAAACATACTGGACTTTAATTTGCAGGCTATATTCTTTGCCATCTTTCTTGAAAAATCAAGACATTTGCTTTTCTATAGTCCAGAGGTACTTCTGTCATTGCTTCCAAAAAGCAATTGACAATGGCTCTTTCTATACCCAAAGATGTGGTTCCTCTGGGCCATGTGACATGAACTCAACAAAAGTTGCTAAGTGTTCTTCTACCACGTGCTTACTTAGCTTGCGTATCAATTTACTGTTAAGTTACATTTGTTGTATCCTTTTCAGTCTAAAAATCATGACTCAGTAGAATAAATAAGACAACACACTTTTTGTGGCCTGATTGTTTCTCTCTTATATGCACATATATAGTCTCATTTTTCAAAATGTAGGTTGATGTTATAGTTAATACAATTCATTTAAAAATATTACATTTGTAGCTTTTTTTGGTCATCATTACCTCTTAAACCACTATCATGTAAGTAGCCATTAACTATTTTGAGGGTAAAGAGACATTCATACACAAAAAATGGTGGAGAACCTTTATTCTAGAGTATTCTTGAAAGAACTTTAAATTACCAGAACTCCACATTTTGAGAAATTCCATTTTCTTGGAGCATCCTAGAATAGGCAATTCTCAGTAGCTGAGAAACTCATAAGAAGCACAAGGAGCTAGACCAGCTTTTTACCTGCCAGCTACCAGGCTGAGGTTTACTTCAAATTTCCACAAAATGAAAATGAATGCTCATAGGAAAACTGAATTATGAACACTACAAAGAACTAAATAAAAAGTCTTGAAGGCAAAGAAATGGTGGCTCAAGGAACTTCAAAAGATGCAAGCACATACATTTGAAAGTAACTTCTCAACACAGGCTCTAAACAAAGTCAAACATCTTAAAATCAGACATTCAGAGACTTCTCTTTGCTTGTTCTGCTAATTTCAGAAGCTGACTACAGTTGCTCTCAAAGCAACAAAGGAAAAACTTCCATACAGAAAAAGAGTAAGGGCATCAGTTAGAACAGTTTTATCAGAACCCTATTGGTCCTTGTATCCTTTCAGTTTGGAGACAAACCAATTTACCAATGAAATGTAAACTCTTTCCCTTCTCAACTCTGCTGCCCTTAAGAATTCCAAAAACTATGTTTTCTAAAAGAAATAAAAAGCCAGAAGGTTCATGGTGAAATGATTTATGTGGCATTAAAGGTGCTGTATTCCCTAATATTAAGTTGCATATTTGGGAGTTATTGCTCTTTCAAGGGTCTACCTGATAAGACAATGGATACACATAGCACATATCTCTGAACAAAACACCAAGCGCTGATGCAATATAGCACTTGGTAATCTGGTTTAAAAGGTATTAATATGGCCTTAATATCGCTCTTTATTTAAAGAATCTTAATAATCTCATGCTGAAACATTCCTATGTTCCTGCTGTGGCTAGCAAATAAATGTAACAGAAAAGGGAAGGCGCATTTAGCAAGTCCTTGATTTCACACATCTTTCAACTAACAACTCACTGGAGATAACTCTCGGACAGTAACAAACTAGATGATGGAGGCAACACATGTGGAAAAAGTCCTGGACTTGGGAGGCAGACAACCTTGGTTCAAGTCTTAATCTGCTACTTAATAGTTATATAACCCTTAACAAGTCATCTCACTCCTGGAAGCCCATTTTCTCATCTATAGTTTAAGATTAATGGTACTCACACTATCTACCTCACGCAGTTGTTCTAAGGAAAACATATTGTCAACTGTATTGTATGTTTATTGTTATAATTTTATGATAACATAAGAAATCAGAATTTTCCATGAAGACTAGAAAGTCAACGTTTGAAAAGAGAAGGCATTTCTGCCACTTACTCTACTGATTAAGTAATGGGTAAATACTACTTATATGGTACAAACCTACTATGTGTATTTCTAGATTTAAAGAATGTTTGAGGCCTGTAAATAATATGCTAAGTTGAATAAATTTTCTGAAGTATTTGCATAAACACATCTTCCACTTGATTTGGACAAAAAGTAATCACAACCAAAAGGCCTTCTTATATTTTCAATGTTGAAGAAATCACTTATTAAAGATGAGGAGTCCAATTTGAAGGGAACCCTCTCCCTCCCTGCCTCTCCACTATCTGTATACAGACCACCATACCCAAACAATCCAATATAAATTCTACAAATTGAACAAAGTTCTTAACCCAGTTCTTTCAATGCAGGGAAGTTAACTCTCCCACCTATAGGAATCTCATATACCTATGGACAACAGAGATTATCCAGTAGAATAAACAGATGTATATTATAAGGAGGGGGGAATTCTTAATTGCTATTACTTGTACTATACCTGTTTAATGGACAGAAGACATCAGTCTCCAAAGCTGTAGATCTTGTCACTGGTGCTGAATCAATTTGAAATGAGAAAAAATATATATTTTTTAAGACAACAGAAAAAAAAATTCAGTAGCCTCTTATATTGATTTCACAGAACTCCCTTCACTTTCCAGGTACTGACAATATGAGACTTCACTGTGATAACAAATGTAAAATAAAAGAGAATCCTAGTAAAGTATAACATCCCTCAAATCTTCTTTACTGGCAGAGAACTTGCTCAACTTTATTTACTCCACTAAGTAAATCTAGCTCTCTCTGACAGCAGCCATTTTTACTCTTGAGTACACCTCCAAAATATACTGTTTTCTAGACAACAGCATAACTGAAGTGCTTTGGTCAAAAACAGAAAAGCAAGCTCGATCAAAAGAATTAAGAAACGGTGAAATGCTGCATGCCTCTGTAATCTAATCTAAGTCCATACCATGGAAGTCTATTTTGCTGGCACCAGAAACCTAGTTATGATCTTACTTTTTCTTTGTTCGACAGGACTTTCCACAGTCTCAACAGGATCCTTTCAGCACAATTAGCAACCTCTCCTCTACACAGCAGGCACCAAACTCCCATTGGTATTTACCAACTTTCAAGCATCAGTAATGGTTTCTTCAACTATTACCACCTCCAAGAGATGAAGAAGATAACTAGGAAAAGGTAGATGCTGACCTGCTGGTCAGAAAACTGTATGATCTGAATAGTTACTTGAATTAAAATATACAAAAATTAATGTCTGAGTGGAAAGCAGTTTTCAGATTTATAAACATCAACATTCAACACCTATACTCTAAAGGTTAGAAAATAAGAACATGATGCATAAAGACACAGGGAAGTTGCCTTCCTGCCTGAAAAAAATAACTGGGCCTTTGGCCATATGGTCACATTCAAATGGAATTCCAAAATCTATGATTCTGAGCGGATAAACAGGGAAAAAGCAGAACTATCTTAGAATTTCATCTGCAAGAATCTTCCCAAGCCAACAGGCTTGGGCAACTCTATGCACCAGAGTTAAAAAACACTACTTCCTGGGATAGAATTGCAAAATCTAAACATGAGGAACAGATTTTCTTAGAGCCAGGTGGTATGGGGAGGGGGGAGGAAAGGGGGGGGGTGTTGTACTATAAGAAATGATGGCCCAGTCTTGATGATAATATAGGTGGATTGAAAGATGGGGGACCCCACTAAGAATCAGAGAGATTCTACAGTTTGGTCTCTCTGCAGGCAGGCAATAGTACATGAACCCTAAAGATTTCATATTGAAAGAAGACTAAGAGAAAAGAAGGCAGTAAGGTCTAAGGGAGGAAAACTGCCACTGGGCCAGAAAAGGGTGGAAAACCTAGCTACTAGGGGAAGCTCAGTTGACACTATCTCCAACAAGAGTTCCTTTCTGAACCATCACTCACTCACAACTGCTAGTGCCTCTTAGTCCTCCCAATCCTAATTACTTCGTACCTACTTTTGTATAGGTACATGCCCCTCCCCCTTGTCTTACAAAATATAAGCTTCTTGAGGGCAGGTGTATTTTGGTTTTCCTTGTCGTATGGCAGAGAAGGGTTTAACTACCAAACGGTAAGCTCTTAATACATGCCTGCTGATTGTTTGAAGAGAAACAGCTTAGGCCACTGAGAAAAGATGAGGAGAACCGTTTAGCTCAAGGGCCAAGGGAAGGCAGCCTAGACCCCAGAAGGAGGAGGCAGAGAAGGAGCCTAGACCTATGAGAAAGAGGGAAGAGAAACAGCTTAAACCACAGAAGGGAGAAAGAAAATGGCCTAGAATCTAAAAGGGAAAGAGACAGCCTAAAATCTAAAAAAAGAGACAGCCTGGAATCTAGAAAAAGAGAAGAAAAGCAGTCTAGATCCTATGAGGGAGGAAAAGCAGCATAGAACCTAGAAGGGAGAAGGGAAGAAACCCAGACCCTAAAAGGAAAGGGAAGGAAACAGCCTAAACCCTATGTGGGGGAGAAAGTGGACAGCCTAGAACCTAGAAGAAATAGAAGTGTAAAGGAAGCACCCTAGACCTTAGAGATTGGAGGGAAGAAAAGCGGGGCAGACACTAGGAAGCAGCCTAGAACCTGGAAGGCAGCACAGACAAGAGGCGCGGGGAGCAGAAGGGAGCAAACCTAGAATGGAGGTTCCTCTCAAAAGACGGGTAGTTCTCCGAGTCTGGGGCCGGAGGTGGCACTACGAGCCCAAGGCCGCTCCAGGCCTAGAGGATTGGGGGAAGGGTGGCCGGAGCCCGGGGCGCCAGGATCCATCCCGGCTCTGAGGACGAAGGGCCGGGGGCCGTTAGGCCGCTGAGGGCCCGCGGGCTCCCGGAAGCCGCAGACAGGGCTCTCCCACCAAGTTTCGGACTCACCAGAGTCTCCGGGGCGGACTGCAGCTACAAGCCTCTCAACAGCAGAACCAGACCAGGCCAAACCTCGCCTCCGCCACAGCCTCGGTCCTGATCCCAACCCGTTCTCCGCCCGCCCGTCCGGTCCGACCGTAGTACCTCCGTCTCTCCGTCCCGCGTCCCCGCTCTCCGACGACGGAGACGGCGTCGCCCCGCGGCTTTCTGGGATACGTAGTTAGGGAATGGCCCCCTGCCCAGCAGCCGAGGCGACCTGGAGAACTACTTTTCCCACAAGGCTGCGCGACGGAACTATCTGTACGCTTGCCTTCACGCTGTGCGCAGATGTCAATCACGTGGCTTCTCTCCTTCTTCCTCTTCCCCTCCCCCTCCCCGTGGGGAGCTTGCTTGAGCTGGGGAGGAGAGCGGAGGAGCTTCTAATGGCTCTTTTTCTCTTTCTCTTCTACTTTTCTACCTCCCTCCCTTCCTCCTTTTTCCCTTTTCCCTCTCTCCTTTCTCCTCTTCCCCTCCCCACCCCTTTTCTGAGAATCAATTGCCTTTCATAAACCCTTCCATGGGTCCTAGGGAATGCTCTCCCTGCTGATTTAAGCCTCCAAGAATCCCTGGCTTTCCTTTGAGACCCAGTTCATAATGCCACCTTCAGCAGGAGGCCTTTCTTGGTCATCCACCTTACTCTTACTACCCCACCCCACCCCCCTGTTGCTGCCTTCCATCAGCTCCGAATATATTTGTATATTCCTAATTATTTACGTGTTGTCTGCCCCATTAGAACATGACCTCATTAAATTTGGGAACTGTTTTTGCCTTTCTTTTTTGTCCCCAGTGCTTAGCACAGTATTTGGCACTTGGTAAACACCTAATAAATGCTTGTTGTTTGCTTTATTCCTGAATAAATGAAATTGGAGTATTAGAAGTTAGATTGTTGAGGGCCTTGTATGCTAGGCTGAAAAATTTTTACTTCTCCTAGAGGCAATGGGGATTTTTTCTTTTTTTTCTGTTTTTTTTAAACTTATTTATTTTGATTTATCAACAATCACTTCCATATACTTTTGAGTTGAAAATTTTTCTCCCCCTTCCTCCCCCCACCCTCCCCAAGACAGCGCACAATCTGATATAGGCTTTACATTTACATACCCATTAAACATATTTTCACATTAGTGAAGTTGTAAGTAAAAATTAAAACCAATAGGAGGAACCCTCAGAAAGATGAAACAAAACTCAACAGAAGGTAAAAATAAGTGATAGCGATTCGACTTCCATAGTTCTTTCTTTGGATGTGGACAGCATTTTCCATCCCGAGGCCTCTGGAGATGTCTTAGATCCTGTAATGCTGAGAAGGGCTCAATTTAACAATCTTAGTCAGGCAATGGGGATTTTTAATGGTGAAGTGAAATGATTGAAACTGAATCTTAAGATTATTTTGACGTTTGTGTGGAGGATGAACTGGAGAGGAGAGAAATTTAAAGCAGAGACCAATTAGGAATCTATTACAGTGGTCTGAATGAAAGCTAAGGAGGGCCTGAATGAAGATGGTAGGTAACCTTGTGAGTGGAAAAAAGGGATGAATGGGAGAGAAGAAATTAATCAATCGACAAGCATTTATTAAGCGTTTATACCATGTGTTTACATTCTAATAGGAGAGCCAATGTGGATATGTTTTATAAGTATATACAAGACCTATCCACCTAGTAAATGGAAGGTGATTTTATCAGGAAGGTACTTGAAGGAAGCCAGGGATTCTCAGAGGCAGAGTTGAGAAGGAAGAATATTATTGCAGGCCTAGGGACCAGCTAAGGCAATGACATGGAGTTGGGAGAAAAGTGTTGAGTGTGAGAAGGAGCAAGCAGGTGTGGTAAGGGTTGTCTCTTACATGTGGTGTGGGGGTGTCATTTTGTGGCTTGAAGAGAAGTAGAATAGACATCTCGGAGCCAAAAGTTTGGCTGCTCTGCTCTCCTTATCAAGAAGAGGTACCAGGCTAAAATTATATCTGTCTGCTCCCTTAAATATTTTTAGTCTAGGTCCTAGACTCTAGGGCAGGGGTGGGGAACCTGTGGCCTCAAGGAAACATATGGCCCTCTAGGTCCTCAAGTGAGGCCCTTTGTCTGAATCCAAATTTCACAGAACAAATCCCCTTATTAAAAAAATTTGTTCTGTAAAACTAGGACTCAGTCGAAAGGCCACACCGAAGGACCTAGAAGGCCACTTGTGACCTCCAGGCTGCAGGTTCCCCACCCCTGCTCTGGGGGATCTGGTTTTCAGGTTCAATCTAACTTCTAATCACTATTTCATTTGTGGGGGGTGGGGTAGAAGAGAAATAGACACCAAATACCAATTGCACAATAATCACACACAGCAATTACCAAAGAAAACCACTTACCCAACTTGATAGGAAGGGAAAAAATGGAAATCAGAGAAAGTATTCATTGTTGTTCTTCAGTCATGTCTCACTCTTTGTGAGACCCCCATTTGGGGTTTTCTTGGCAGAGATACTAGAGTGGTTTGCCATTTCGTTCTCCAGCTCATTTTACAGATGAGGAAACTGAGGTGAGTAGAATCAAGTGACTTACCCATAGTCATACAACTGATAAGTGTCTGAGGCAGGACTTGAACTCAGGTCTTCCTGACTCCAAGCCTGGTGCTCTATCCACTGCACCACCTAGCTGCCCATGAGAAAGTATGCATATAAGAATATATACCAGACAATACAGAGTGAAGGAACTCTCCCCCTGGGAGAGCAAAACCAAAAAAGAGAGTCCTAGATCTCACCCAAAGGGAAGTTCCCCAAAGTCTCTAGTGTAGCAAGCTAGGAATAGGGACATGATGAAGACCACCAACCCCTCTCATGTTGGCTTCTGAAGTGCGGTTGGCATCTTCCATCTTTTCTCGAAAAGCTAGAAGCCAGAAGGACCCAAAGTTTGAAGAGAGTCAATAACTCAAAGAAAGCTGAGGGCCTCACCTCTCTCCTGCTCTGACCAACTCTGGCCTTCCCCTCCTCAGGCACAGGTCATTGATCTCTACCAATGCGTACAAATAGGTTTGGGGACTGAGGTTAAATTGGTCGATATGATTCAAGGGTGTGTAGGGGAGTAAGATTTAAGAATATGGGAAAGGTAGGAAGAACTTTATTTGATCCTGGAGACAACAGGGAACCACTGTAATTTATTGAGTAGGGGAGGGATTCGGTCAGACCTGTGCATTGATAACATTGCTTTGGCATCCGTGTAAAGAATGGATTGGAATGAGAAGGATCTTGAGGCAGGAAAACCAGCTAGAAAGCTATTGCAGAAGTCCAAATGAGAGATGATGAGAACCTGAACTAGAAAGGTACCTATGTGAGTATCAAGAAGGTGACAATGTATGAGAAGTTAAAAAGCTGGAAATGACGGGATTTGGCAACTGATTGGATATTTGAGGGAAAGAAAAGAAAATGGCTTGAAAGAGAGCAGTGGGGGGGGGGAACACACCTATGCTGAGGGGGTAGGACATGGATGTTGATTCATCAAATGGGACTGAGAAGAAGCCATGAGAAAGGTGGGGAAAGAATCAGAAGAAAGCAACATCATGAAACTTCTACCTCTTCTTCCTTTCAGATTCAGTTCAAGTGTCACCTTTTATAGCAGGTCTCTCCCAGTCCCTCTAGCTATTAGTATCTTCCACTTGATAGTAATAACTAGCACTTACATAAGACTTTAAGGTTTGCAAAACACATTGCAGATATTATTTCATTTTATCCTCATAATAATCCCACAAGGTGGTGCTATTATTATAACTTTTGTAGATGAGGAAACTGAGGCAGGCAAAAGTTAAGTGTCATATACTTAATAAATATCTGAGGCAATTTGATTCTGGTCATCCTGACTCCAGGTCCAGTGTTCTATCTACCACATCACCTAGCTGCCTCTTAGGTTACTTTCCAACTACTCTGTATATAGCTTGTGTGTACCTATTTACATACAAGTTGTCCCACACGTTAGGATTAAGCCCTTTGAGGGCAGGGACTGATTTTGCTTTTTCCTTGTCTGGCTTGATGTTAACCTTGGATATGTCACCCAATTTCTATCAGCTGAGTAACATGTTGGTATTGGTATCATTGGGAAGAGTGTGGAGAATCCTGGGGAAACAAAGGAAAATACAAGCTGGGCTAGGAAGTATAGAAAGTTCAGAGTTCCATCCTCCATGATGGCCCCATGTGGACTTTTGATAGATGTAACTATGTGCTCTGGTTCACTCTATTCCAGAGCCAGACTAGGTACATCAGCCCTGCAGGGTTCTAGGGTACCCTAAAGGGCTTGGGGAACATCTTCTTACTATCATATCTCTTAAGTTCCTACTAGTTGTGTCCCTGCCATTGTTAAGTGCCAGAAACTAGCATTTCACCATTTAATATAATTTATAAAGGGATATTTACTTCAAAGATACAAGAAGAATAAAGTACAAACATTTCCCCTAAAACTTCAGTTTTTTGTGCTTCCGTTACCCAGCTGTTGATTCTTTTTTAATGATTCTCTTGTATCATTCATTTCTTTCCCCAATTTTTGTCCTTCATCTTATTTGATTTTTAAAATCCTTTTTGAGCTCTTCCAGGAGTTCTTTTTCAGGGCCTGACACCAATTCACATTTTTCTTTCAGGCTTTATATGTAGCTGTTTTGACATTGTTATCTTCTGAGTTTGTGTTTTGATCTTCCCTGTCACCATAGTAACTTTCTATGGTGAGGGGGTTTTTTTTGTTTTGTTTTTATTTTTGCTCATTTTTCTCTCCTATTTCTTGACTCTTAATTTTATGTTAAAAACTTTGGGGTTTTTTTTTGTTTGTTTTGTTTTTGTTTTTGCTCATTTTTCTCTCCTATTTCTTGACTCTTAATTTTATGTTAAAAACTTTGGGGTTTTTTTTTGGTTTGTTTTGGTTTGGTTTGGTTTTTTCATGCTACTGTTTTCAGAGCTAACTCTGGGCACCTGTAAGTCTTTGGTTTTTCCAAGGTGGTATGATCTAAGGAGGGGTTTGGTCCTTGCTTTCCTGGCATGTGCTGTGGTCTGTGAGTGACCACCCAGAACTATGACCAGGATCCTTCATCCCCTGTGGCTGCATGCTCTAATGTGCTAGCGTTCCTCCTCGCCTTGGGACTGCAACTCAAATCAGTGACCTATATCTCCATTTGAGCAATGCAGCAGAATCCTG